CCTAACCACCCTAACCTTATCGGCTAACTGGCGCAGCTGGCTAACTAGCTAACTGGCTTTAGCTATCTGGTATGCTTAGCCGTCTGGTTTGCTTAGCTATTTGGCTCACTGGCTTACTGGCTAACTGGCTAACTATCTACCGGGCTTACTAGCTACCGGGCGTACTAGCTACCGGGCTTACTAGCTACCGGGCTTACTGGTTACTGGGCTCTATGACTATTGCGCTCTATGACTACCGCCGGCTAATTGGCTAACTGGCTAACTAGCTAACTGGTTAATTGGCTTACAGGCTTACGGGCTAATTGGCTATCTTAGCCACCGCCCCACATCTAGCTGCCACCCCACACCCAGCCACCCCCTAAACCTTATTTACACTACCTCTTTACCAAATATATCTCTCTTATCCTTTCTACTTCCTCACCTACCATTAGCTACCTTTTTGAAGATATATATCTTTACTATCTACCAATCTTGATTGATATTATGTCTTCTATCCTACCACCCCTACCGCCTTATCTGGTGTATTATCCCCAGTACGGTCTAATAGCCTGTGCTACACACCAGCAAGCACTATATGAGACTAAAATTCTTGATCATGTAATCAAGTTCCACCACAATCTGTCTCTTACCGAGGCTGATCTAGCTAGCTATCGGCTGCTATCTTTGGCTACTAGCCACCATCTGATCTTGGAAATTCAGCCTATTCCGCCGCTACCGACACTTAAACTACCACAAAACGGCTATCAATGCAAACTATGCAAATCTCTCCATCTGAGCCAGCGTAGATCCCGTGACCATCTACGTGAGAGCCATAGGATTACAGGCTATACAGCTCAGGATGCAGAAGCTACTATATGCCCGATCCAAGCCTTAGAGGGCTCAGCCTATCTTTTTCGTGTTACCGAGCCTAGGCTATCTTTGCCTACTACTCTCACTCGCAAGAGATCTAGAGAGCTCTCTCTCTCAGGCTCGGTCCCTAGCCCAGGCCAGCGGCTAAAGATAGCTACTCTGTCTCAGCTAGTTGGGCCTAGCCAGCCAGCTGCGCTCTCTCAGCCAACCGGGCTCTCTCAGCCAACTGGGCTCTCTCAGCCAACCGGGTCTCCCAGCCAGCCGGGTCTAGCCAGCCAGCCGGGCCTAGCCAGCCAGCCGGGCCCAGCCAGCCAACTGGGCTCTCTCAGCCTACCAGGCCTAGCCAGCTAACCGGGCTCAGCCAGCCAACCCAACAAGCTCTCCCTACCCAGTTTTTAGCTAGCCTGGCTAATCTACGGAGCTCTCTAAACAATCTAGGGTAATCCAACCCCTTGATGAGACCTACGAGGCTAGGGGCTTTTTCACAGATAGCCAGTATCCAGCCTATCTAGCTGGCCGGGATGCTGCTGAGCTAGAGACCCTATTTACCCTACAGAGCCCGGAGCAGATGATCTGGCTCTCCGCTATTATATATCAGCTGATTTCTCTAGGGAATAGCTATATTCAAACAGCCTCTCCACAGACCCGAGCGGCTCTGAATTCCTTTAGCCTAGACCCCGCTACCCAGGCTACATTACGTCCGCTACGGGGTCTACAAAATAAGGCCTCCATCAAGAAATATAGCCTGATTTTTCAGGCTTTAATTCAATTTTTACTACGTTCTTATCTCTCTATCGATGGCGGCGGCCCTGCAAGCTATCAGGGTCTTTATACTCTACAACCGCGGCAGCTAGCTGGCCTAGCAAGCCTAGATCACTTTTTACAGGCTTTGCCACCTCCATCCGAGAGCCTAGCTGCCTATCAGCCAGCTTCCTTCCAGCCTAATGATCTATCTGATACAGGCTCCGATACAGGCTCCGATACAGCCAGTTCCGATAACGATACTCTACCGATACTACCGCAAGCTAGCTTAGATAATAAACAGATCTCTAAGGGTGTAGGCTTAGTAATTGAGCTAGCCCTCTCTCTAGCTGAATGTGAGGCTAGAGATAGACAAGATATCCCACTCTATGCATTCCTAGCCTGTTTTAGCCGGAACTATCAACGTGATTGCTTTAAACCGTTGGACCAAATCACCCATTCTTACTCAGCGATTATCAAATGCTACCAGTTGATTATACTATATTGGCTATATACAGATATCTTTACTGATTTAGCTATTGATCAATCTATGGCTAGTTATACTAGATCTTGGATGCACCAATAGTTTATTGCACAATCGGAGACTCCGTTAGGGTATATATTGATCTTACGTGCCCTAGGCTTTGCTATATCGAAATCTAGCACCTCGCTAGGCAAGATATATAGCCTGGCTCCCTATACCCTTCGGTATCAACATATTACTCTCTCGCAGCAAGATCTAAGGGTCTTCCTAGCTAAAGGTATAAATTAGCTTGCCCTAGCTTTATCAAATGATCTATTTCTGGAATTTACAAATTTTCAAGCGGTAAGTTAACAACCCTAACGAGTATGATATATATATATCTATATCTAGCTATATCTCTATATCTTACTATATTTACTAATATATATCTATCTATCTATCTAGGCCCAATCTTCTCTATCTCTCTCCAAGGCTGCCAGCTTCGAAGATATAGGAAATATGACAAATCAATGGTCTTTTCTGTCAGTCTATCTAGCTGGCCAGCCATCTGATTTCTTACTTCAGAAGGCTTTGGCTACCCCAGCCTGGACTAAGGAGATAGCAGCCGAAGATAGACCTGATATAGAGCTCTCCCGGTCTAAGGTTCTAGGCTATCTAGAGACTAGCAGCAACTGGCTAAAGGGCCTTCTAACCCTAACCCATATAGCTAGCGGTGCACCGGCTAGAGGTACAGAGATAAATCAGGTGATCTGGCAAAATACAGCTACCAACCAGCGGAATTTATTCCTAGATCCAGTGAACCATATCTTCCTAATCCGGCTAGCCTATTCGAAGACCTTTAGCCGAAATGGCCAAGAGAAAGACGCTGTACGGGCCTTACCACAATCAATCTCGTGGCTACTTTTAGCCTATCTGGCCTATATTAGGCCATTTGAAGAGGGCTTGCTGATCTGGCTGCATAAGCGGCTGCCTGAGGCCTATTTTATACTATTCTATGATTACCGGACAGCTCAGCCGTTCTCTTCTAAGATACTCTCACATACACTGAAGAGTATGAGCTCAGAATTGATTGCTCAGCGGATCAATATAAAGGTCTGGCGGCATCTAATGCAAGGCTTTATCCGTTATGGGCTTGGTCTAGCCGATCCGCTGGCCGATTTGGGTACAGATAGGCTAGATGTGGAAGGCCTTGGAGCCGAACAGATGAACCATTCTCGTGGAACCGGCTTAGCTGTATATGGCCGAAATATAGCAAGCTTCCAGGGTATCAGAGCAGATATCCAAACAGCTTTGATTAGCTTTAGTCAACAATGGCATACCTATTTGGGTATATCAGCTGATCAGCTTATATTAGGCTCACTGTTCTATAATAGGCAATCTGTGAAGCCCAAGGCCGAAGCCCAAGCCCAGCTAGCCTCTTCTAGTCTTCCAGAGCTTGTTTTACTACCCCTAGAGAGGCCGGTTGTACAATATCACTACCCTATCCGTTTAGGGGCAGTCAGGCCTACCAAACAGGTTAGCCTAGGCTAGTTCTATGAGTTTTTAAACTTATATAGCAATCTATATTCCAGCCAGCCAGGCACTCTCTCAGAGCCAACTGGGCCTAGCCAGCCAACTGGGCTCTCTCAGCCAACTGGGCTCTCTCAGCCAACTGGGCTCTCTCAGCCAACTGGGCTCTCTCAGCCAACTGGGCTCTCTCAGCCAGCCGGGCTCTCTCAGCCTGCCGGGCTCTCTCAGCCTGCCGGGCTCTCTCAGCCTACCGGGCTCTCTCAGCCTACCGGGCTCTCTCAGCCAGCCGGGCTCTCTCAGCCAGCCGGGCTCTCTCAGCCAGCCGGGCCTAGCCAGCCAACTGGGCTCTATCAGCCAGATCTGGATGCCAGTCAGCGTATACGCAGCCTAGTATACTCGCCTTTGCTAGATAGCAGCTATATCGATAGGGGTACCCTAACGCAGATGCTTAGGGAATTCCTTAGTGATAATACTGCTGTTTTTCGGAGCTCTGGCCAACAGGAAGCTTTTTATGCTATAATAAAGCAAATTCCATATCTCTATCTTATCTTACCAACCGCATCTGGTAAAACTACCCTATTCCTCTTTGGGGCTAGTATATTGCCTAATCAGATAACGATATTGATTATACCGTTGATATCTTTGAAGCTAGATATCCTAGCTAAAGCTAAGGCCTTAGGGCTAAGGCCAACGGTATGGGAGCCTGCTATCGGCTATAAGGGTCTCGATCCGGAATCTCGGCTGATTCTTGTCCAAATCGAGTATATTGTATACCCTAAATTCTACGAGATGGCTAGCTATCTAATCAATCAGCAACGGCTAGCTAGGCTAATATGGGATGAATGCCATTTAATCCCACTCTCGCAGAGCTATAGGCCTATTATGAAACGGGTTTGGCATACCCTAGCTTTGCCGGTTCCAATGATCTTTGCCTCGGCTACCTTACCGGGCTATCTAGAAGCTGAGCTTACAGGGATGCTAGGCTTGCAATCTAAGCCATATATTATCAGAGAGAGCCTAATTTTGAAGAATATAGCCTATGGGGTGGAGAGTTTACCGGCCTTGCTAAAGCCAGAGAATTACGCTGGCTATCTGATACAGTGGATGAAGGCTTTTAGGGCTAATCGGCTTAGCTATACCGGGAGGAAGACTATTGTGTTCTGCCGTACAAAGGCTATAGTTGATCAGCTATATCAGGCCTTAGAGCCTCAGGCAGCTAGATTCCATTCTGATCTATCTGAGGAAGAGAAATTAGCCCAATTAGCCTATTTCAGAGCCGAGGGTCCAATTTTATTGGCTACTAGTGGTATCGGAGCTGGCTATGATTTCCCAGATGTGGATCTTGTAATCCATTTTAAGCCTGGCCGATACGAGATTACTAGTTTTATACAGGAATCTGGCCGAGCTGGGAGATCACCTAATCTATCTGCATGGGCTTATTGCCTAATTCCGTCTAGCTCTGGAAGATATATATCTTCAAATGGCCCTGCTGAGCAAATTTATTTTCAGCAATATCTGTATGAAGATATCTGCCGGCGGAGAGTTATAGCTCGGGTATTTGATAGCCAAACCCTAGAGCATTGTGAGCCTAGCTGGGCTCTATGCGATCTCTGTGCTAGCCGATTTGCTACCCTGACTAGCCAATCCCAAAGGGTGAGAGCAGTGGAAAGGCAATATAACAACGATATGGCCTTTTTTGCTAGAGCGGTAAAATACTGGACCGAGGAGAGATGTTTTATATGCTGGCTAGGATAGTATAGTAAGTTACAACTCTCTCTCTCTTTATATATATATATATAAATATATATCTATATATCTATATATCTGTTTGCTAATATTTAAATATAGCTATATATCAGACAGAACAGCCGAGAGATGAAGCTTCTGCACACTGTTTTACTAGCTGTTACTACTATAGGACAGGCTATAAACAACAGGCTGAGAGGCTAAGGGCTATGGTCTATCCAGAGGAAGATAGCTGTTGTTTTGACTGCTATCTGCCTACTAGGCTATGCAAAGGAGCTTTGTCTACTGAAACAGGATGTTTTTCACCAGAGCTTATAGCAGCATTTTGGGTATTATCTTCTAAAATAATAGAAGAAAATGCAGAGGCTGATATAACAGATCCAAGCCTAAACGGGGATTGGGTGCCTAAGGAATGGACGCCAACTAGGTTTAGAGAGCAGATATGGAGATTAGATACAGAGATGGTAGCCGGCGTATGGTTTTTTTATAGTTTTGCCAAGGAATTTTGGAGTGATATGGGTATGGAGTGATAATTTGGATGAATCTGCAGTTTTACTAGTTTTACTATATTTTTTATATAACTGTTTTATTATAGCTGGATAGCTGTAAATTTTCTCTATCGAACGGTCTAATTTGGGAGTTTATAGGATTAGTATAGAGCTAAATACGGCAAGCCCATCCAAGCCGAACGATATCAAATTGACTAGGCCTATCCAAGCCGAGCCACATCAAACCAACAGGGGCTTTCCAAGCCGAGCTATACCAAACCAACTGGGCCTATCCAAGCTGAGCCGTATCAAACCAACTGGCGTATCTAAACCGAGCAATATCAAACTGACTAGGCCAGACTAAGCCGAACCATATCAAATCAACTGAGCCCGTCCAAGCCGAACTATACCAAATCAACTAGGCCCGTGCAAGCCGAACCATATCAAATCAACTAGGCCCGTCCTAGCCGAACCATACTAAATCAACTGAGCCCGTCCAAGCCGAACCATACCAAACCAATTAGGCTCGTTCAAGCCGAACAATAGCAAATCAACTGGGCCCATCTATATTAAATCAACTGGTATATGTAATCTGAATTAAACCAATTCAACTAGGCCTATATATATTAAACCAACTGGCGTATCTAAATTAAACTATACCAGATCGATTAGGCCCGTCTAAGCCGAACCATACTAAATTAACTAAGCCCGTCTAAGCTGAACTATACTAAACTAACTAGGCCTGTCTAAGCCAAACCATATCAAATCAACTGGGCCCATCTATATCAAATCAACTGGTATATATAATCTGAATTAAACCAAATCAACTAGGCCCATATATATTAAACCAACTGGCACATCTAATCTGAACTATACCAAATCAACTGAGCCCGTCCAAGCCGAACTATACTAAATCAACTAGGCCTGTGTAAGCCGAACTATATCAAATCAACTAGGCCTATCGAAGCTAAACTATATCAAACCAACTGGCGTATCTAATCTGAATTATATCAAATCAACTGAGCCTATCTATATCAAATCAACTAGTATATATAATCTGAATTAAACCAAATCAACTAGGCCCATATATATTAAACCAACTGGCACATCTAATCTGAACTATACCAAATCAACTGAGCCCGTCCAAGCCGAACTATACTAAATCAACTAGGCCTGTGTAAGCTGAACTATATCAAATCAACTAGGCCTATCGAAGCTAAATTATATCAAACCAACTGGCGTATCTAATCTGAACTATACTAAATCAACTGAGCCCGTCCAAGCAGAACTATACCAAACCAACTAGGTCCGTCTAAGCCGAACCATATCAAATCAACTGGCGTATATAATCTAAATTATACCAAATCAACTGGGCCTATCTATATCAAATCAACTGGCGTATATAATCTAAATTATACCAAATCAACTAGGCCTATATATATTAAACCAACTGGCGTATCTAAGATAATCTATATTAAATCAACTGAGCCCGTCTAAGCCGAACTATACTAGATCAACTAAGCCCGTCCAAGCCGAACCATACTAGATCAACTAGGCCCGTCTAAGCCGAACCATATCAAATCAACTGGCGTATATAATCTAAATTATACCAAATCAACTGGGCCTATCTATATCAAATCAACTAGCGTATATAATCTAAATTATACCAAATCAACTAGGCCTATATATATTAAACCAACTGGCGTATCTAAATTAAACTATACTAGATCGACTAGGCCCGTCTAAGCCGAACTATACTAAATTAACTAAGCCCGTCTAAGCTGAACTATACTAAACTAAGTAGGCCTATCTAAGCCAAACCATACCAAATCAACTAGGCCTATCGAAACTAAGCTATATTAAACTGACTGGGCCTATCTATATTAAATTAATTAGCATATCTTATTTGAACTATACTAAATCAACTAGGCCTATCTATATTAAACTAACTAGCGCATCTAAGGCAATCTATATTAAACCAACTGGCGCATCTAAATTAAACTATACCAAACTAACTAGGCCCGTCCAAGCCAAACCATACTAAATCAACTAGACCTATTGAAACCAAGCTATATTAAACTAACTAGACCTATCTATATCAAATCAACTAGCACATCTTATTTAAACTATACCAAATCAACTAGGCCGATCTATATTAAACCAACTAGCACATCTAAATTAAACTATATCAAATCAACTAGACCTATCTAAGCCGAACTATACTAAACCAACTAGGCCTATCTAAACTAAGCTATATTAAAATAACTAAGTCTATCTAAGCCGAACTATTTTAAACCAGATATACCTATCTAACTCGCTAATTAGCTTAACTAGCTAATTAAGTTGCTTAGCTATCTAGCTTACTGGCTTATTTAGCTATTTAATTTACTAGCTTAACTAGCCAACTAGCTAACAGGTTCAGTTGCTACTAGACTTACTAATTAACTAGCTAACTAGTATAACTAGCCTACTAGCTAACTAGCTTACTTAGTAATATATTTTATTTAGCCTAGTAGCTTAGCTAGCCAACTAGTTTACTTAGCTAACTAGCTTAGCTAACTATAGCTAGGTGTCTTTACTAGAATATATGATTTTTATTACAATATCTTTATTATTAAACTACTATAGTTCTAGTCTAATCTTTTAAAGTAGTTACTCTAGGGTAATTAGGGTTCAATAATCTTATCTCTTTTATTAAAGATAAGATAAAATAGCTAAAAAGGGGATAGCCTACCCGCAGCGACTAGCTTTATCATCCCCTATCAAAACTGAATTCCCTAATTCTAAATCAACTAGAGTCTTACTCTTATACTAGTATATTGTAGAATATTATTTAATATTACAATAATTTAGACTTTAATTACCAATTTTAAAAAAACCCCGATAAGAATATCTCAAAAATTAAAGATTTGGGAGGGGCTGTTGGGTTTGACCCACTTTTTCTAAAGACCCACTCAACACCCCCCCCCTTGCCAAGACTTGTTAATGCGGAACAGGGGGGGGGGTGTTGGGCCCGACTATAGTTAGGAAGATAGCTGTTGTTTTAACTGCTATCTGCCTACTAGGCTATGTAAAGGGGCTTTGTCTACTGATAAAGGCTGTTTTTCATCAGAGCTCGCACTAGTATTTTGGGTGTTATCTTCTAAAATAATAGAAG